AGGGTTAGTCGTAAGGTTCAGTGTGCCCAAAATCAGGGGTGCCCTGAGTTCCCCTAATTTTTGCTGCCTGGTCATACCAGAGTACCGTCAAAACACGGACTTGTCCCTGGGCCTAAGTCCCAAAACCGCAGATTTTAGGCGTCGCACTGCTTGTGGCTGCCTGACACCGGGTCAAATGGGACTTCCTGTCGCAGCTGACAAACAAAGGCGGACTGGGCACACTTGACCCGCGCCGCGAGAGTGACGCCCTCATCTTCAAGGTGCTGATCAGACTCCTCATTTACACCGACATCTCGTGGGCCACCTTCGGATGCCTGCAGATCGCTAATCTTGCACCGCAACCTCTGGGGCATCGGCAGATCCACCCCTTCCAATGGCTGACCAAGGCCCACTGACGCCCACTGGGCTATTCCCGCCCCAACGCAACCTGGACAGGCAGATACCCGAGCGCAGCCGACCAGGTCAGATATTCAGCGGGACCTGCTGTGGCCAAACATGATCAAACTCTGGTGCCGGTGTGGTCCGCAACAACGACACCGCCCCTGAGATGGCATGACATCTGGCTCCAGCCTCTCTTTGGTAATTCCCCAATAGTGGATGCAGCAGGTCACCCATTCTCCTTAACAACGCGCTCCCACTGGCTCACCTGGGCCCGTAAAGGACTGTCCACTGTAGGAGACCTGTGGGACGCATCAACGACTGACTGGGTGCGTGCACCAAAGCTGCAGCAAACACTCAAACATGTCAAATCTGTAGATGAAAAACTGTCGGAGCTGCGTGAGGCGATCCCAGTAGCTTGGCACCTCGTTCTTATGAAAGGCCCCATGGCCCAAACCGGGGAGTGGGTTGTGCAGTTCATGGACCTCCCTGCACCCTGGAGGCCTACGAACCCCTGCTGCCAAGGGCGAGATTCTCAAAGCTTACACGGAATGAGGACCTCGACAGCGACACACAATGGGGAGGCCTACTGCAGGTCAGAGTGGTGGGGGATTCCGAAGCTGGGCAATTTGTCTGCGGTGGGGTTTTGGATCTCTTGCTGGTATTTGTTTGGTAATCCAGATAATTACAGGCATTTTTTTAGCAATGCATTATACGCCGCATGTAGATTTAGCTTTCTACAGTGTAGAACATATTATGAGAGATGTTCAAGGAGGCTGGTTACTTCGATATATGCACACCAATGGAGCAAGAATGTGGGTGACCATTACATTACCTGAAGTTAATTACGACAGACGGGGTTTCCAGGGCCGTGAGACTACGATGTGGAAGTTGCGATGTCATACTGCACTGCTGACTGCAGCCACGAGATGCAATGCACTACACTCTGAGGGGGGGCTCGCCTGGGAATGCATGTCCGCATCGGCCGCTCTGCTCGTGGGACGAAGTGGCGTGCCCCCCTCATGCTTCTAATGGGACATTGTATAACATCTGTGATTTTGTAACTGGGACGCTGGGCCCGTTTCCCCGCAGGTGCAGCTCCCCACCAATAGATGGAGTCTCCCCGAGGCCAGCTTCATGTGTCTGCTCCTACCAGCACCTCAAGCTGTCTCCAGGTCTGTTTTTTTTTTTTTTTTTAGTAAATAAATAAATAAATTGGACTATCGGTACAGCCAGGTTGCGGAAAATTTTTGGGCCTAGCAGTAGCAGCAGGGATGATCACCCTTGTAAATAAAACGAAACATATTTAATAAAACTTTCTTAAAAATTCCAAAAGCTGTCCTTTGGGACATCCGTTAAAATTGGAACGATACAGAGAAAAAAGATTAGCATGGCCCCTGCGCACGGATGACACACATCAATTGAGAAATGGTCCAAATTAAAAAAAAAAAAAAAAAGAATCCAAACGCTTGCCGCGGGTATTCATTCCTCCAACTTAAAATAATGTTTTCAGCTTTTCAAACATTTTTCTTGGAAAGATTGACATGAACGCTGCGGTCCTGAGTTTCTTTCTTAAAAGGTGGGAACTTCAGAATTATTTTATTGAAATTTATTCTGTTGACCTGGTCACAGCTGGCTTCAAACTTGGGTCTATATTTCTACAGTTCACTGGATGATTGGGTGTCCCAACGGAGCTATAGGGCTGTTGGTGCGGTCCTGAGTTTATAAGTATCTTTTCAACTTTTTCTCGGAAAGATTCTTCATGCACTTCATCATCATCCATTTTCAAACACAAACGACGGCCACAGACAAGCTGTGAGCTCTCATCAAATGCACTTTTTGTAAGTTTTATTATTATTATTATTATTATTATTATTATTAATGTCACACTTTTATTTTAATTATATACATATAATAATATATGATATATCATAAAAGTTCAAACAGGGCTGCCATGTAAACTGTAGGTAGACAGCGATAAAAGGAAGAGGGCAACAAACGAGGGACTGTCACAAACCATTCCATCGAAGCTTCACCGCCTCATCAGAATATACCAGCTAAGGGCGGTGGGGGAGTTGCGGGCTACGCCCGCAGAAAAAACAAATGCAGAGGGTGACCTCACACTGCATTTTGGATGGCTCGCCTCCAAGATGTTTGTCCGCAGAAACAACGACGGGTTACCGGGGGGCACAAAACAACAGCCGCGCGGGAAATGAAAAAATAAGGAAGGAAAAGAAAGAAAAACAAAAAAAGGAGGGGAAAGAAAACGACAGGCGCGAGGAATGAAAAAAGGAAAAGGGGGATGCAAAACGATGGCCAACAGGAAAAAAAAAAAGAAAAAAAAAAGCCGCCCGCATATCTGATGGCTCGCCTCCAAGATGTTCGTCCGCATCAAAGCCAGCCATGAGACAACAGGCGCGAGGAATGAAAAAACGAAAACGGGGACGCAAAACGACGGCCAACAGGGAAAAAAAAAAAAAAAAAAAGCCACCTGCATATCTGATGGCTCGCCTCCAAGATGTTCGTCCGCATCAATGCCAGCCATGTGCCTTCCCCCCGGTGCGCACGCTCTCGTTTAATGGCGCGCTGTGAACATTTCGGTACGATTTCCCCTCCGCACACTCCCCCGCCCTCGATTGCCTTCATCCGCCGGCCCTCACCAAAACTTCGTCCCGAGTCCGTCACACAGAGCGTCATGGACATCCCCCCCTCGGCCAATGCTGCTTAAGCGATAGGATACTTCATCATTCTCCTTTGATACTGACGAACAGAGGGCCACAGAGGAACTCAACCACAAGAACATGATAAAGTCAATCACATCAACTTCAAAATTCTCTTTTTGTTTATTTCCCTCCTCATGAGAGTCTCAGGCGCATTAGAAAAGTATCAAATGGCGTTCAGTATTTCAGACCAGAATTTGCACAGGCAGCTCTGTTGACATGTGACCTGGAACCTGGTACACGGTCAGGAATCACGATAAGCATCAGTACCGTTCCCTCACATCAGTACTGCCAAGACTTCGACAGCAAAAGTCGGCGCCACATCAATATTGTCGAGACCTCGACAACAGAAGTCGGCGCCGCCTGTTTTACAATTCAGGTGCAGCAGACCTAGCCGTGGACACCCGGGGAGGGCTTATTTTGTGGATCTGGGTGAGAAGGTCCATGCGTCGTAACTTACGGTGGCCAATTGACCGAGTCGTCAGAGAGGGCACACGACGCTCCTCTCATTGGCCACACGACGCTCCTCATTGCTACAAAATGCAGTTCGCTGTAAACGTTGAGGCAAACAAAAAACTGCAGAGTTGTTCACCCCCTGCCAAGCTGTTGACAAAGAAAAAAGGTCAGGTTATTATTATAAAAAAAGACTTGAAAAGAGCCAACAATCGCAATAGCAACAACAGAAATGGAAAGCTTGTAGTCGTGTGCAGAAAAGGACAGGCAGAAAGAATGACACTTACACACAAGAGAGAGAGAGAGAGAGAGAGAGAGAGAGAGAGAGAGAGAGAGAGAGAGAGAGAGAGAGAGAGAGAGAGAGAGAGAGAGAGAGAGAGNAGAGAGAGAGAGAGAGAGAGAGAGAGAGAGAGAGAGAGAGAGAGAGAGAGAGAGAGAGAGAGAGGGTAGGGGGGACAGGTTGTTGATATGTGTGCTAAGTGCTCGCTGTTGAGAAGGAAACATCAAGCCTGGGACCAACTTGCATGATTAAGCACAATAATTGCACCGTCTGAGGGATTCTGTGTAAAGGTGACCTAGGAATTGGCCGAATTGGCCTTTCGCCACTGTTGCCGATTGACCACATGACCCAGCAGGCGATAGATATATACAAAGCTGGCAGCGAAGGGAGATTGTGAGAGGACTCCCAAGAGGAAGATACGTGAAGAGGACCCCATCGGCATGATATGATAACCACATCCTGCCCATTATCAAGTGCGCCTTCCTGGTTCCTTTCTACTGTTTCAAACTTCAGAAACAGTTCTCCTTGCTACTATCTACCTATGTGGCCATTCTCCTCTCTCTCTCTCTCTCTCTCTCTCTCTCTCTCTCTCTCTCTCTCTCTCTCTCTCTCTCTCTCTCTGTGTGTGTGACACACATGCACCCACGTTCATATGGACGAGTGTTTCATTTCCTGCTGAATGCAATATATAATATCAAACGCATCGTCATCAGCACCTTGGCTGCTGTGTAATGATCTCGCATAGCTGACAGTATCAAGGAGCCAGCTGCGGTGAAGCTTTGGAAATGGATCGTCCTCATACGCAGCCCTCTCGAATGATTCTTTAAGCGCATTCTCAAGGATGGCCGAGGCTTTCTTTGATCGAACAACCACCTTTGCAGGGAGCCCTGCCAGCAGCGCGACCTGAAGACCATAAGTCAGAGGGCAGACACCATCCTGCAGCTTGTAGAGAAAGACGAGCTGCCGCATTGGTTTCTGTTGCGACCTCTCAGGCCTTCCTGATGACACCTTCTCACCCTTTGGATGGGCGGCGTTCCCATCCAGCGGGTTTGTTACCGATTTTGTTGGCTCGTTCATATCACTGCTTCCAACCGATTCCGGATCCAATCGGACTAGAGAATCCATGTATTGGAGTCTAATCAATTTGTCTTGAGCGAATTCCACAGTCAAGCCATGATAATGCGTAGCGAAGAGCAGCCGGCAATCAAGTTTGGATGTCAGATGCTTCAAAACCTGCAACAAGGAGAACAATCGAAAATATAGAAAACAAACAATTCAGAATTCCTTCACAATCTGTCCTTCGGGACTTTCGTTAAAATTGGAACGATGCAGAGAAGACCAGCATGTCCCCTGCACAAGGATGCCACACATAAATCGAGAAATGGTCCAAAACTGGCAAAAAAAAAATGAATAAGGAGAAGAAGAAGAAATAAAAAAAGAAATCCTCAAAATCTGCAACAACTTCCAACCAAAAAAAAAACCTGGACGACAACAATTGAAACCCGAGATAAATTGTGGCAGTTGGCGCACTCAACTATCTGTTCATAACTTCGTATTTTATAGCATTCTCAATTTTCACTCTAAGAAAAAGTCTCAAAAAGTTACCGGAGAAGAATTGGATTGTTGATGGAACCACTACAGAGGAGGGAAGTGCAGTGTAGAGAGAGAGAGAGAGAGAGAGAGAGAGAGAGAGAGAGAGAGAGAGAGAGAGAGAGAGAGAGAGAGAGAGAGAGAGAGAGAGAGAGAGAG